TATAACATAAATCTAGAGAGAGAGAGACAAAGAGAGAGAGATAGAGAGAGAGACAGAGAGACTAATAACTCACATTATTAGTTAGTGAAGACTAAGTATCCCATCTTTCTCTACTCTGTCATTGACGCATCTGGATCCATATTCTTTGCTCTTAGGCCTAATCATACCCATACACAAGCATCTTAATACTTTTCTTAGCCTATTAAGAGCTTAATGCCTCTTAAGGTCAAAATGACCACTCAATGGATGAATATTCTATCTTTTTATTCTCTATTTCTCAATTTCATTCATTTGATGAATTAAGTATCCCATAATACCTAATTCATCATAATCTATTATAATGTATCAATTAAACAATCATTCGTTAGGGTTTCAAACCCTAACCTCACATACATAGATTTTATAATAGAAATCACTTTCTAAGATTGATTAAAGAATCTAAACACTATCATTTACATCATAACCAAGTTATAGGGTGATTGATTCAACTAATCAGCTCTAATCAAACATTTCACCAAAATGGAGAAATCATACCTTGATGTGAAGAGGATAACAATCCTAACAACCCACCATCTGTAACGCTTGGTTTCGGTATAAGTTTATTTCTCCAATTGTTTATAATTCCTTTGAGACTCGACGAGTTGGAAGGTTCAACTCGACATGTCGAGAGGGTTTTGGCTGCGGAAATTAATGAACCAACTCGGCGAGTCGGGGTGTACCAACTTGGCGAGTTGACGGCTCGGAAGGAAACCCTAATTTTTAGGGTGTTGCACCCTATTTAAAGGCCTTAAGTCCCTTGGATGGCCTCCTTACCAGCCTCCTCTGTCCGGAAACCCTAAATAGCGTGTATCATATTTTTTGTGAGTGTGTGAGCTTGTGGAGGGTCTTGAGTGTTGATCTTTTGTGCTCTTTTGAAGATGCTTGGGAGTTGGAGGTGTAAAGCTTGGAGGGAAGACTTAGATCCATAATCTCCCCACTTGTTGCAGTCTCTTGGAGGTATCAAGTTTATACCTTGCTTTGTTATCATCTAGATCTCTTTGTTTTGGGGTTTTATCTCGATTTTGGGCTCATGGTTGGGTTGACCAAGAAGTTGAGTGTTCCAGGGGTTGTTATGTTAGATCTGACCATTTTATTGCCTCATTTGGCTTAAAGGTGCAAGCTTTACTAAGTTCTAGGTCCCATTCATGCAATAAGTCCTTTATTAGCCGATCTTGAGCCCTAGGGTTTCTTTTTAGCATGCATGGACATAAAGTTGGAAACTTTACGTGATTTCCTAGCCTTTAGATTCCAGATCTGCATTTTAGGTCTACGTCTTTGGAGTTTAAGGGCTTAATGGGTCAAGCCTCACTCTAATGAGTCTAGGGTTCGGGTTTGACTCATTGTGGTGGTTCCCAAGGGTAAAGTTGGAAACTTTACCCTTCTAGAAATCATTTTGGAGGAGATCTGAGATTTGGAATTCCTATATTCGATGGAAACAACTTAATGCATTAAGCTGTTGGATTTCTAGCTAACTCGGCGAGTTCATTAGTGAAATCGGCGAGTTGATGAGATTATTCCCGATCTTTGCAGTTAATGGAGAAACACGACGAGTTGAAGGACAACTCGGCTTGTTGGGTCAACTCGGACCGTTGACTTTAATCTTTGACCAAGTTTGACCTTTAAGGGGTTATGGGGTATTTTGAGTGTATTTAAGGAATTTCTTCTGTATAGGGGTTGAGTAGAGCTGATATTCGGAGTCGGGACCTAGTTAGCTATCGTTCAGTTTTCGAGGTGAGTTCTCTCACTACATTCATGGGTCGAAGGCACCAAGGTCGACCCATTAATTAATATGATATGATTAGTAATGGAGTATGTAATGGTTGTTATTTGATATATGTGTGAACTTATGTGAAGACCATGAGAGGAGCCCATGACACTTGGCAAGACCATGGGAGGAGCTCATGGCTAAGGGATACAAGACCATGGGGGTAACCCATGGCATTACAAATGAAGACCATGGAAGGAGTCCATGGCAAATTTATATGTATGTGTGCATGACATTATGTGATTATATGTTTCACGTGTTTTGGGAAACACACTAAGCGTGTGCTTACAGTTTTGTTGGATGTTTCAGGTACTTCTAGTTCTAAGGGCAAGGGCCCGGCTTGATGGTGCAGCGTGCATTCTCCAGTGTTTTCATATTTAGTTTTGATACTCTAATATTTTAAAACACTATAGCCATGTAATGGGATTTTCTGGAAGCAATTGTGGTTGGTATTTATGATTATAAAAGTTAAAATTTTCTGTAAAGTTTAGGCTGTTACACCATCTCTAGCTTCTCTTAGCGCCATTTGGGCAGCAAATCCACCCCCTTTAAGCCCCAATCGATCTACCCATAAAAATGGATCGAATAAGCTCTTAACATGTTAAAACATGTGTTCTGAGTGCATAACCGCGTTGCGACATTCTATGCACCTTGTTGTGACTGCCATTTCACCCAAGGTCATTGGTTTCCATTTAATTGCCGACCTACTTGCCATGTTGTGGTATTCTTTCTTAAAGGCATCCTACTTTAGCCACCGTGTCGTGGCATCCATACATTACGCCGTGGGGCAAAGTACATTTCCATTTCTCTCTAACGAATAAGACTACGTTCGAACCCTTTTCACCACTTGTCGCGCAACGAAAATCTATTCACCGCACCGCGGTTCCAACTTGACAGCAGCCCATTGGGCTGATTTTATTCCAACTTTGGTACATTTTTTTCCTAACTTCTAACTTTCATATCTTCTTAATTTCTTAGCCATTTTCTGTGATCTTTATATCCACATGAAGGTAGGAACATACTCTACAAATCTGTTATGTCATATATCAATGACTTAATATAAGTCTTAATCTATTAAGTCACAAAGGTGACCTAAAATCATAAAATACCCATTTTACCCTTTTGACCAGTAATATATCTTCTCATGTATTTTTTTTTCTTGAACTTACTCATCTAACATCTTCTAAGTGATTTAAACTTTTTTTGACCATTTTTATGAAGTCATAACTTTATAATCTCATCTCTTTCTCATAATTGACCATTTTGTCCTTTTGGTCAAAATTTGACTAAAAGTCAACTTTTTCTAAATTTCAGGTTCTTACACCAATGGTGCATGTTAGTGTGATTAGTTTGTTTTTGTGCATTCATGTGTTTGGTCCTAGGTGTCACAATTTGATTGGTGATCGTTATATATGCAATCTTTTTATTCCACTATAAATATAGGTGATGAGAGAACAACTTAACGATCTTATCAATGGTAGTATAGCTAATGATGGTATAGCTAAGATCATAAACACTAGAACTTATGTGTCTTTGTAATCATTTTGTTTTGCTTGATCTTTTAATGAATATTGCTTTATTTGTTCGACAAATCGTTACTCAACAATTGTGTCTAGTTTTGTGTGGTTGATTACGTGAAAAGACTAGCTAATCATCATTGGCTTGGTCAGCCTTACGATAGACGACCTTGATGCCTTATTAATGGAAAGGTCTTCGAAACTATGAATATTTATTAACTTCTCCTTCCGTGATAAGTATGTGTCTAAGGATTCTACTTCGGACGGTCACGCAAGCTTCTTTCTATTGGGGCATGCATCACTTTGGACAAGCTTTACTTTACCAACAATGCATGATTCGAAATTTAATAGCTAGCACATCCTCGGATGAGAATAAGAAAAATCTGTTGCATAATTCAAGTAAAAGTGCATCCATTACTTTCATTTTTCTATGGTTGTGTATGACACATACGATGTTGCTTCCCCCATTCTCAACCTTTTTTTTTCTCAATTGAACCCTCATATAT